TCCCTCTAGGTCCAGAGGGATGCTGCTTTTTCTCCGAAAGCCCTGCTGGCATGCTAGATTAGCTATGCTTGATAACAGAAGGCCAGAGCTGCAGCAAGAGGGTGGCCAAATGACCTCTGAGTAGTGAAGATGGAAGCTCCAGTGGGAATCACAGAGGAAGGCAGAGTTAGTGCCTGGACATTAATGGGTGTCCAGAAATAACAAGGACTCTTAAAATAATGTAGTTGGGTTAGAGACTAGACATTGTAGAAACAGAAGGGATCTGATGTGGAAGCTGTTTGACGTTGACAAGATCTGTCTTTTGATGGCCCATCAGTGGCCTGGGCCAAACCAAGAACTGTGGGACTGACAACTGAGTTGAAGGCAAAGGGTGAGGGCGGAGGAGAACCTTTTCTTCTCTGCACCAACACTAACATTTTCCAGGGGAAGCATGAGACGGAGCATTCTCTGGCTTGGGTTTGCACTGACTCCGGTCAGCACTGGAGGGAAGAGAATAAAAATCCAGTATTGCACACTGATGATCGCACGGAGACAGACCTGGTTTGTGGTAACAGATGCACACAGGCGAGGCAGGGCGACTGGTATCAGAGACAGGTGCCTTGGAGCATAGAGTGGTTTTGCGAAGCGCTGCCCGGTCTGCCAGCTTCCTACATCACACCATGTGCGTGCAGCCCCCCCATTCAGGCTGGGGCTGCGACTGCCCTGCAGTCTCCACCTGCAGTGTATCCACATCCTACAGGAAAATGTTTCATTTAAAGTAGGAAAACAGAAGAAAGGGAACTTCCTTCTCTAAAAGAGGTGACAGATGCTTCCAAGATACAGCCTGAGAAGCAAAAGATGGTTTTCTATTCCTTTCTTGTAACAAGAAACGAAAAATAAAACAAGTAATAAGCTGAAACATCCATCAACAATAGGCCTGGGAAAGGAGCAGTCAGAACGGGGAGAGCCACTTAATCAAAATGATTGCGATTTAGCGACCTAGCACCAGGATGTGTCTTGAGATTCACAGTCTATTTCCAGTTCTGCCATTTACCTACTGTGTGACCTCCAGCAAGTCCATTAGTCTCTCTTTGACAGGTCCCCTCTTGCTCTTTTCCTGTCTTATCTGTTAGATCACAAGCTGTATTTTTCCCCTTCAGGCACGATCTCATAGACTGAACTTGTTCACACAAGAAGGCCTGATTCTGCATGGGGCTTCTTGTGGTTGCCGCCAGGCGTCTGACAAAACGAGGCAGCAGCCGGGACCTTGCGGGACAAGGCTTTCAGCAGCGATGTCTCACAACCAGCCACAAGCTTGCAGGCTGCATCTCATCCAGAGCTCTCTGCTTACCTCAAATCAAAATGCACCATCTGTAAAACGGGCTCTGAGACACGCATCTGCCCTCAGGGAGGTTAAATGAGGCTCAAACACGAGCTCATCCCACAAAGGGTGCTACAGCAGCTGAAAGCACCATTAGCAGTGAGACCGC